GGACCAAACCACAACAGGAAGGACGCTGTACACTCCAGGGTCCTCCTTCCTGAAAGCACATTATGCCAGTTGGGTATTTCAGGTGAGCTCCTAGGAACCCAAACCCTAAACACAAAATTAAAGCAGCTTTCCTATCACCGTAATACACCATTACATCCATACAATGCAGCTATAACGGATGCTGCAATGGGAGACAAAAGCAACCCTCCTGTCCGCATATACAAACCTGCGTGCACGGATCACCACACGTGCTTACAATGAGGAAAATGCGTGGCCCTGGGCATCATTCTCCTTCCCCTGTTAAAAAGTCTCCCTGTATTATAGACTTTTGAGATCACAACTGATTATCCCTTCATTTATCTTTGAGACGTTATGTACTATTTTGTGGAATTAGAATTTTCTTAGCGTTCAATATAGAACTGATTGAATTTGCCACCGAGGGTGCGTGTCTTCCTTCCGCTGTGGTTCGTAGGCAGTATGTTTGCTTTGTAACCTGCCTAAATGGCCCTAAGAATTGGGGTTCGCTTCACAGCCTGAGAAGAAAGATCCTTTTGAAAAGCAAGTCTTTGGAGAAAAGAAACCCAATTTGATATTGATCCTTCGGAAAAAAAAAAAAAAGGAGAATGCTACTGAATAGCAGAAGATAAACATTGGTGATTAATTCAGTGAAAAATGAAGAGTGTTCCCAGTAAAATAAGTTCTGAACCATTGCAAACAAACCTTGGGTGGGTGTCAAATAAATGCTTCCCAAAGGAGACAGGAGAAATGCTATTCACAACAAATGACCAAAAAGAGATTTTTGAAAATAGATGGATTGAGAAAAGCCATCAGTAATTACCCCAGGAATAGATTAGAAACACAGAGGGTTTCTTTTATCTTTAGAAATGTCCCCCTACCCCCAGGTCAACTCTCTGTACCAAGGCATCCATCCACTTATTCAATATTCATTCACAAAAGCTTATTGATCACCTGTAAGGAGATACACTGTACTAGTGCTGAAAACAAGGAGCTCTGGTGGTGCAGTGCCTAAGGCATTTCACTGCTAACCAGAAGGTTGGCGGTTCAAACCCACCAGCCGCTCTGCAGGAGGAGGACTGGGCAATCTACTTCCATAAAGATTTACTGCCTCGGAAACCCAATGGCATCACTATGAATTGAAATCAACTCAATGGCAGTGGGTTTAGTGCTGAAAACAGTTTTATTAGCAAACATCACAAAATAGTGATATTGGGCAATCTTTAAAATGGATGCAGGTCTTCTCCTGGGTAAAGAAGACCCTGATCTGGGTATAAATCTTGGTGTAAGTGGACTAAGGAAGCTCTGGTGGCAAAGTGCCTAAGGCACTTGACTGCTAACCAGAAGGCTGGCGGTTCAAACCCACCAGCCACTCCTCAGAAGGAAGACTGGGCAATATACTCCTGTAGTGATACTGCCTTGGAAACCCAAGGAGGGGTCGCTATGAGTCGGGGCCAACTCGACGGCACATAACAACAACAACAACATAGAAAAATGACTAGAACATCTCCTTGCTTTCAAGGAGCTTTTGGTCTTATAAAAGGAGAAAGCCATACAAGAAAATAAGAATAAAATTAGTGCTATGAATAAAGCTCAAAAAGGAAGTCATTTAAGATGCTTAACACTTGTTTTGGGGATAAGATTAATAAAATGCACTTAACATTTGTAACGTTTAGTTTTAAGACAAATATAAAAACGAAAACCAAACTCACTGCCATCAAGTCAATTCTGACTCATAGCAACCCCCTTTGGGTTTCCGAGGAGGTAAATCTTTATGGAAGTAGATTGCCCAGTCTTCCTTCCGTGAAGTGGCTGGTGGGTTTGAACCAGCAACCTTCTGGTTAGCAGTCAAATGCCTTAGGCACTACACTACCAGAGCTCCTAAGACAAAGATGGAAGAACTGATTTTGCCAAGGGAGTCTCTGCTTTCAGTAAAATGGTCGCCTTGGAGGTTATTAATTTGTTCCAACAAGAATGCGCTTCTTGAAATTATCTACAAAAAGAGATTTTTTTTTCTCATTACCTCATGGTGACAGTTTTATTTTGCCCAACTTGACTGCCTGCTTTAATTATCAGCTTGATTTCTTTCTAGTGTTTCAAGTGCCCAATCTAGTCTCAAAAAGCAAAGGTCATCCCTATTTAAGAAATTCCGAACAGTGGTGGCTGGAGTATCATAAGCTTGTGAGGGGTCATCTAAGATGCACCTATTGGTCTCTCCTTGTCCAGAGCAAAGAAAAGTGAAGAAAATCAAAGACACATGGAAACAATTAGCATAAAAAAAAGACCAGGTTTACTGGTCTGATAAAGCTTGGTGACACCTCCAAGACTGTGGGCTCTAGTCACCCTTCAGCCTGGAATTGAACTCACTCAGGTGGTTTAACCTTCAGCCAAAGAATAGGTCTACAAGGTGAACATCTGCACCAGGTAGATACACTCCTTAGAACAATCAGCCCCGGGGGATCAGAAGGGCAACATTTGCACAGGGAGACAGCTCAGGGGGCAGGAACGCAGAGGACAGAAAGACACGGAAAAGGTAACCACAGGGAGGAAGTGGGAAGGACCTGTTACATTGTAGGGACTGCAGTGAATGTCATGAAACAAAATGCATAAGAACTGTTGAATGGAAAATGAACTTTTTCTACACATTTTCACCCAAATGCCAATAAAAAGCTACACAAGAAAGATTCAAAGGAATTGTGGACAGATTTCTGGTGGGAGTTTCCAAAGAATTTCAAAAATGCTTTAAGCATTGGCAGCATCATTAGCATAAAGGGTCACTTTGAAGAAGAGAAGGTTCCTTTGGATGTGTGAGTGATGGTACATTGCTGTCGGCAAGCGCTGTCGAGTGTGTCCCAACTCACAGCGACCGTGTGTACGACAGAAGGCAAACCGCCCGGCCCTGCGCCTCCTCCCAATCCTGCCTGTGCCGGAGCCCAGCGTTGCGGCCACTGTGTCTGTCAGTCCATCTCATTGGGGTCTTCCCCTCTTCCGCTGCCCTCCACTTCACCACGAACGGTGTCCTCCAGGGACTGGTTCCTCCTGATAATGTGTTCAAAGCAAGAGAGACACTCCTAAGGAATGTTCTGGCTGTACTTCTTCCAAGAAGTGCTTTTAATAGATTTCAAATGCGTTTTCATGCTTCATATTCACAACACGAAACATAAGTAACAAAGCAAGGCATTGGGCATTACTCGCTGGCTGGTCCAATCAGCTTAGTCCTTAAGAGTTCAGAGAGAAGAATACAGGAAGCAGATTGAACAAGCGTGGCCCAAGAGGTAGGTGACATTTAGACCCATCGACAAGGCTTTGATAGGGCCACCCAAGTGAACCTGCAGCTGTGTGTTTATTTGGAAGGAAATGGAAGTCAATTTGGTGAGTGGCCAGTTAGAAGTAGAGTTTAGAATTTATCCCATTCAACTGCATGATCTTAAGGAAGGAAGGGGAGCTCTGGTAGCATAGTGCCTAAGGCACTTGACTGCTAATTAGAAGGCTGGCGGTTCAAACCCACCAGCCACTCCTCGGAAGGAAGATGGGGCAATCTACTTCCGTAGTATTACCGCCTCGGAAACCCAAGGAGGGGTCGCTATGAGTCGGGGCCGACTCGACGGCACATAACAACAACAAGGAAGGAAAGTTGGGCAATCTACTTCCATAGAGATACTGCCTTGAAAATCCAAGGAGGGCTCGCTGTGAGTCAAGTCCAACTCCACGGCATGTAACAACAACAACACAAGGAAATAGAGACTGTCAGAGAACTTGCTGTTCTAAAGTTTTAAATAAAAGACCATTATGTCTATTCATATCCAAAATAGATGACATCGCTATTGTTGTGTTGTGTTGTTGCTGCGGTGGTTAAGGTTGTGTGTCAACTTGGCTGGTCCTGGTTGAGTGGCTGGGCAGCTGGATGTAGTTATTCCCCATGAGGAGACTGGCAATCAACTCCATGGTGGAATCTACTGTGAGCAGCTGAGTAGCTGCCTTAGGGATGTGGTCTGCTTCCCGTACATAAGGAGAAGCTTTGAGGAAGGTCAGTAGCTTTGGGCACGCTTGAATCCTGCATGTCGCCGAGTCGTTGTTCAGCAGCCTGCCGTGTTCTGCTGATCTTGGGACTCTTAATGGACTTGAATCAATGACCTGCTGTGTGCTTTGGTTAACGTCAGGACTGTGCCTTTTTACTTGTGGATGTTGGGCTTGTCAGCCTCAGCAGCCAGCAGCTGCCTAAGTGAAGGAAGCCTCCAGCTCCAATGGGCCAGAAGGAGGCAGAGCTGAAGCTCAAGGTCGGGGGGCTTTCACCCAGGCCCTAGAGCCTGGCACTTTGAACTCAGACTTCTAGCCTCCAAAACTATAAGAGAATAAACTCCAGTTTGTTAGAGCCATCCCATATATGGTATAAATTCCAAAACGGTTACCATGAAATCAGCTCCAATGCACGGTGACCTCTGTGCAACAGCACAACTGTTGCCTGGTCCTGCCCCATTTCTTGATCGTTGGTGAGCACCAGCCCACTGCTGCAGCTGCTGTGTCAACCCATCTCATGAAGAGTTTTCCTCATTTCTGCGGACAAACGTAATGTCCTTTCCTAGCAATTGGTCTTCCCAGATGACAAGTCCAAAGTAATTAAAGTCGTGCCACCGAAGGAACATCACTGTGGTTCATCTTCAACCTCTGCCAGGCTTTGGAGGCACCCGTATGTCAGTTCTTCCACGCACCCTTGGTTGGCTCCCTTTTTCAATTCTGCCAACAACTATTTCCCATTCTCCCCCTCGCTCGGCAGATGAGCTTGCCACTCACGTTATCGGGAGCGGTGGTCTCCAACTTGTGTGAGCTCGGGAATCATCCGGAGATTTGTGGAAAGGCAGGTTCCGGTTCCGTGCACGCATCTGGGATGAGCCCTGAGATTCCGCACCTCCACCCGGCCTCCAGGTGGTGCTGGTGCTGCGGGGGCTGGACCGCGAGCGAGGCTCTGGGTCTGTGCACCCTGAACTTGGCGGTGTGCTCACTGGGCGTGGGGCGCAGTCCTTCAGTCCATCCACCTTCTCCAAGCACCTGCTCCCTCCTGTAGCTTCAAGCTCTCTCTCCACCCGCTCCTTCCTCTTGGCCTGTGAACTTGCCAAGTCTCTCTTGGTTTAAATAATGGAGTCCCAGAGAGGTGCAACAAGTTAGATGCTTACGGACTAGTAACCTAAAGGTTGGCAGTTCAAACCCACCCAGAGATTCCTGTCCACCTGCTTCCAAAAGGGGGTCTCCATTAATAGAAACCAACTTGACAATTGTTGTTCTATCTGTTTGTTCACCTGACTGTCTCCTCTCCCCCAGGTACACCCTTGCTCCTTGACAGACAAATTTTAAGTGTTCCACACTGTCTTCTCCCCCTCACTACCCACCCTGCCTCTACTACTTCATGTCACATTCCCTACATAGGTGTGTGTGTGTGTGTGTGTGTGTAGATTGAAAGTTATTGTAATAATTTTAATACTACACAAAACATTGTTCCACCTCCTACTTTGGCAAGTAGCGACTAGAATCTTAAAAGCTTGCAAGCAGCCATCTGGATGCAACGATGGGTCTCTCCTCGTCCAGAGCAAAGGATTAAGAAAACCAAAAATTCATGGAAACAATTAGTCCTAGCAACTGGTACACCATACAGTCCTCAGCCTATATGAGTATGAGACCAGACGAACTAGATGGTGCCCAGCTACCACTGTCAACCACTCAGAGTCGGATCTATGTAGGAGATCCTAGATAGAGAGGGGGAACAATGTGGAACAAAACTCAAAATCATTTGGAGAAAACAAAAAAGAGGGGACCAAGTTTGCTGGTCTGATAGAGCCTAGTGGAACCACTGAGACTATGGCCCCTAGCTGCCCTTCAGGTCTGGAATTGAACCCACACCTGTGGCTTCCAGCCAAACAAAAGACAGGCATAGGAGTTGAACATTTACCTGAGGGAGATACACTCCTTGGAGAGAACAATCATGGGACAAAGAAGGGCTGCTTATGCACGGGGAGAAAGTTCAGTGGGCAGGAGTGCATGGAGGGATGGACACAGGGAAAAGGTAATTATTGGGAGGACGTGGGAGGGGAGCTGTTGCATTGTGGGAAATTGTAGTCAATGTCATGAGACAAAAAGTGTATGTGAACTGCTGTATGGAAAGTGAATTTGCTCTGTAAATTTTCACCCAAATCACAATGAAAAAAAAAAGAGAAAGTTATTGTAATAATTTTAATAGGAAACAGTTAACATTTAAACCATTCAGTACAGCTATTCTCAACTAGATGATTGTTGATCAATTCCTGACTCAGTGAGGCATATTGTATGTGTCAAATAAGAAACCCTGATGGTCCAGGGGTTAAGTGTTTGGTTGTTATTGCTGTTGTTGTTATGTGCCGTAGAGTCGGACCCTACTCATAGAGACCCCTCCTTGGGTTTCCACAGCAGAATCACTACGGAAGTACATTGCCCGACCTTCCTTCCAAAAAGTCAGCGGTTCAGTTCCATCCAGCGGCTTCATGGGAAAGATTATAGCCTGGGAAACCCTATGGGGCAGTTCCACTGTGCCCGATAGCGTCACTGTGAATTGGAATGGGCTCAACAGCGCACAGCAGCAGAAATAATGTGTCACACGGAGAGTTCTGGGCGGAGAAACGGTCAGTGTGCTGAGATGTTAACTGAAACGTTGGCAGCCCATGTTCACACAGAGGAAGCTCAGAAGGGCTGGCGATCAGCCATTGCCAGCCCTACGGAGCACAGTCCGACCCTGAGACACATGGGGGCCCATGAGTCAGAGTCGACCATGGCTACTGGTATGGGTCAAATTACAGTAACTGCCAAGCCTGTGAGGACAAAAGACCCTTCACGTCCTGTTCAAACACTTTCTAACATTCACAGGGATGGAGAGACACCTCAGTCTTTGGAAGTGAAAAAACAACGAAATCCACATTCACAATACAATATGGTGGGTGATGAATGCAATGTGGGGAAGAGAAAGGTGTGGCCAACCTCCTGGCCACCCTTAACCCCAAGCCCACTCTCCCCGCATCCCAGCCCCACCTTTTCCTAATCCATCCACCAGGATCACACCTCTGATGGGATGAAACCAACACAGAAACTCTCCTGACGGTTTTACTTACAAATTACTTGCCATCCTGCTCTCTTGCAAAGACACAGGACACCTTGTCCCACATTTGCCTAAGCTGAACGGATGAAAATTTCAAGGTGAACATCTGCAAGTACTGCTTGCGATTCAAATTCTTCGCCTTCCACATCCCCACGCGCCAGCCCGCCTGGGTAGGCCCTCTGCGCACGCACGCACGCACGCGCGCACGCACGCACGCACTCGCCACAGGCCTCAGTGCGCAGTGCCCCAGCGTCTCCATGGAGACGCGTCACAAAGTGGAGAGGTGCGCGCACGCGCGCCGCCTGCAGCGCCGAGTGGAGCTGGAGCCAGGGGCCTCCCCGCGGCGGCTGCTTTGGGGAAGAATGGCACAGCCTGGGCCAGAGGCTCTGTGCTCTTCTCAGTTTGACCGCAGGATTCAGCCATGTAAGACCATCCAGTCCTCGGGGAGGGAGTGTGTGCTGGCAAAGGGGCCGCCTTTGAGTCAGGGAGAACAGAGGGTGGGTGTTTCTGACCTTGACCCTCGACCTCTCTTTGCCCTCTTTGCTGCTAAGCCCCGCCCCCCAGATGTCCTTTTGTTTTAAACACCGTCCGGAAATGCCTGGTTAGGAGGGAGCAGGAGAAAGGCACCCTGGTGGCATAAAGGTTAACTATTCAGCTGCTAACTGAAAGGTTGGCAGTTTGAACAAACCCAAGGCTCCCAGGCAGAAAGACTTGGTGATCTCATTCCATAGACATCACAGCCTGGAAACCTCTAGGGGGCGGTTCTGCTGTCACGTGGGGTCGCTAGGACTCCAGCTGGACCCTTCTGGGAGAACAGGGCCCAAGACAGAGAAGGAACCAGAGATGGGGAAGCTAAGATGGGGACAGGCCAGCAGGAGTCCTGGTCCCCCTGCAATCCTAGGCGATGCTGGCTGCGTGGTTACTGTGTAGTCAGCCACGTCCCTGCCTCTCCAGTGACGGTAATGCCCCGTTGCAGCTGTCTAGCTGGGTAACTGTGGTCCCACCGCACTGCTACGAGTAGCCAGGAATCGTTCCATCGAAAATTCCCTAGTGTTGTGGTCCCAGGAGATGAACGGAATGCATACATTCATCCCATTGGTTATCTTTGGAGAAAATGAAAATAATTAGGACAAAGGCACTTAAAATACACAGCTTCTGAGCTGTCACATTCTGGTCACGTTTGGTTAATGTGATGGCACGGTTTGGAAAAGGACAATGCTGGTTGTACAACATGATAAACGGAAACTGTCAAGGAATCACTCCTGCTAAAACTACTCAATTGCAAATGTTTTGTGTATGTGTGTGTGTCTATATATATATAATTCTTTCTACAATAATAATAATAATAATAATAAAAGCTCAGCTTCTATATTATAAAGAGCTCTGGTGGCGCAGTGCCTAAGGCATTTGACTGCTAAGCACATGGTTGGCGGTTCAGACCCACCAGCCACTCCTTGGAAGGAAGACTGGGCAACCTACTTCTGTAAAGATTTCCCACCTCCCAAACCCGAAGGGAGTTGCTATGAGTTGGAATTGACTTGATGGCAGTGAGCTTGGGTTATTTTTTTGAGTTTTATATCGTAACAGAGTAAACAGGAGAACCAAACCATTCATAGATAGGCAGGCAAGCTGAACAGAGGTGGGACCACACCCAAGAATAATATAGGATTTGACACAGGACATAGCACCCCTATAGGACAAAGTAAAACTGTCCTCTAGGGTTTCCAAGGCCATAAATCTTTACAGAAGCAGCCTATCTTATCTTTCTCCCACAGAGCAGCTGGCAGGTTTGAACCACCGACCTTTTGGTTAACAGCCCAATGCTTTAACCACTACCCCACCAGAGCTCCTATGTACATATACTGCAAATGTATCCATGAATAGTAGAGCATAGAGTAGGCAAAATTATGAGAACTTTGTAGTCTTAATCAAACTTTTGAGGGAGTGAGTCACTCGGCCTGGGGACCCTGGACCATAGTCTTGGAGGACATCAAGGTCAATTGACACAACATAGTCCATAAAGACAATGTTCTACATCCTACTTCAGTGAGTAGTGACTGGGGTCTTCAAAGTCTGCAAGGAGCCATCTAAGGCGCAACTATTGGTCTCTTCCCTTCTGGAGCAAAGAAGAGTGAAGAAAATCAAAGACTCAAGGGAACAATTAGGCCAAAGGAGTACACCTGCCCCACAGGGTTTCCTTGGCTGGAATCTTTACAGATGGAGATGGATGACTTGGTGTTTCTTCTGTGGCACCACTGGTTGGATTTGAACTGCCCGCCTTTGAGCTCTGGTAGAGTAGTGCCTAAGGCACTTGACTGCTAACCAGAAGGCTGGCGGTTCAAACCCACCAGACACTCCTCAGAGGGAAGATTGAACAATCTACTTCTGTAGTGATACTGCCTCAGAAACCCAAGGAGGGGTTGCTATGAGTCGGGTCCGACTCGACGGCACATAACAACAACCCAACAACAATCTTTGGGTTAGTCATCAAGCTCAGACTGTTAACACCTCACAGGTGCCTCCCAGGGGAGACCAAAGAGAGGATGCAATCCCTTGCAATATCCCCACCTACCTGTTGGGTCTCATTCTCCCTTTCTAGCCACCCTTTCTTGATGTCCTTCACTGTTCCCACCACCCACCCACCCACTTTTCCCAGAAATGTTGGAGTCCTTCAAGATTTATCCTTCTTGGCTTACATCCTTTATGTGAGTGACCACATCAAATTGCAGGGCTTCAAAGGCCACCCAAAGGTGCTGATAACTCTGATCTTTATCATTAACTCTGACTTGTATCCTGCTTTTCTCATCAAGACCCTCAGCCATCTACCGGAGCATTCCATGTGGATATCACAGAAGGACCCCTAACTCACTATGTCCACAGTTAACATGCCTTGCCCCCCGTAAGCCTTCCAGACTTTGTGAGCTCAGTTAGGCAATGCCTAGCAACTCACATTAGGTGGCAGATGGACATCTTAATCTGAGCACCAGGTCTCAGGATTCTACCCCCAAAATTCCCTTCCCCTGGTGGGGTTCAAGACTCATCCTCCCTAAATGGAATATGTGTCCGATCACCTCCATGGACAAATGCCTACCTTGCCATGAGACCAGAAGAACTGAATGGTGCCTGGCTACCATTACTGGACATGTAGAGCAAGGATTCTATAAGAGAATTCTGATCAAAAGGGGGAGGAAATGCAGAACAGAGTTGCACATTCTCATGGAATCCAGACTTCCTAGAGCCATTGAGACTGGATGACACCCCCTCATAAAACTATTACCTTGAAACTAGTGGACCATGTGAACCTCAGCCTACATGACCATGAGACCAGAGGAACTAGATGGTGCCCAGCTACCACTGTCAACCACTCAGAAAGGGATCAGTCCAGGACATGCTGGATAGAGTGGGAGAACAATGTGGAACAAAACTCAAAATTATAAAAAAAGACCAAGTTTATTGATCTGATAGAGCCTGAGACCATGGCCCCAACTTAGCCTTCAGGCCAATAATTGAACTCACTCCCATGGCATCCAGCCAAACAACAGACAGACATATAGGGTAAACATTTCCACCAGGTACACTCCTTAAAGCGATCAATCACAGGAGAACAGAAGGGCAGTGTTTGCACAGGAGATGGCTCCGGGGACAGGAATGCATAGGAAGGAAGGACACAGGGAAGAGGTAACCACAGGGAGGAAGTGGAAAGAGAGCTGTTACATTGTGGGGAATTGCAGTCAATGTCATGAAACAAAATGTGTGAACTGCTGTGTGGAAAATGAATTTGTTCTGAAACATTCACCCAATTCCCAATAAAAATTAAAAAAAAAACCAACAAAACAACTATTACCCTATTAAAGGGGAAATCTGTAAACCCTGAACTAAAGCTGTCTCCTGAAGTCATCTTTAAATCAAATAGTAGTTTGGCCTAATTAGAAAAGAATGTCCACATTAAGCATTGTACTTTTTTAAAGAGTTCTCTCTATGTGATCGAACTGACAACAACAACTTGAAAGGATAGGTGAGAAATTTGGAGGGACAATGGTGAGTTTGTGTTAACAGTGGTGAGATAGTTTGGAAAAGTTGTTGAGACAGGTGGCATGACATGAAGAGTGTAACCAATGTCCTTGCATCGTAACATGTAGAAATTGTTGTGGTCTGTGTTTTGTTGTGCATATTTTCACACACACACACACACACACATGCAAAGACTGCTCCAGTCTTGACTATTACAGTAGCACTCTGTCACTACTCTGTCCTACGGTACCAAGTGTCCCCTCCAAAGAGTGGACCGGCTGTGTCACTTCCCACCTTTGTTCTGAAACTGGGATGAGGTTGACGGTGTCTCTGGTCACTGTTACGGATTAACTCTATTGGACAATTACTGTCTCCTGGTCACTTAGCCCTCACACTGGTTTCCTAGGGCTGCTGTCACGTATTACCACAAGCTGGTGCCTGAAAGCGACAGAAGTTTATTCTCGCACAGGTCTGGAGGCTAAACGCCTGAAATCAAGGTGTCAGCAGGGCCGTGCCTCCTCCAGACTCAGAGGAGAGTCCCTCCATACTTCCTTCACCTTCTGGGGGCTGCAGGCGTTCCCTGCCCTGTGACACGTCTCTCCAGCCTCTGCCTCCATCACGGGCCTCCTCTTCATTTGCTGGGGGCTCCAGGCGTTCCCTGGCCCGAGGCCTCATCCCTCCAACCTCTGCCTCCATCACAGGCCTCCTCTTCATCTTCTGATGGCTACAGGTGTTCCTTGGCGTATGGCCTCATCCCTCCAATCTCTGCCTCTGTCCTTTCATGTCCTCCTCCCCTGCGTCTTCTGGTGGCTCCAGCGTTCCTTGGCCTGTGGTGCAACGCTCCCGTCTCTGCCTCCATCCCCACATGGCCTCCTCCTCTTCTCTCTCTGCTTGTCTTCTCCATGTTACTCTGACAAGGACATTGCCATTGGATTTGGGGCCCACGGGACTAATCCCAGGATGGCCGCCTCTTCTCGAGAGCCTTAATTTAATGATACCTGCAAAGACCTCCCCCC